GCGAGAGAACTTGCCAAGTCAAAGAAGGGGCTCAGTAATTTTGGGATTGGCGGCCTCTCCCTATTTCGCGGCTTCGCCCCTTCGACCTGAGTAGCGGAGCTCCTAGCTCATTCTAATATGCCACCTGCGGGCCGTAATGCCGTTACATGCGGCGGTGCATGGCCGTCGTGTTCGCATTGAGGTCATTGATGGACACACGAAGTCATGGACGCATGCGTAATTGTGCGTAGCTCTGTCTGAGTCTCCGCCGTCCATGAAAGGTGCCACAAAATGTTCTGAAATGACGCCGTGACGCCGAGTTTGGACCTCAGACCGATTGAGTGCCTGGGTCACGGTCTGGTGGTGTCTCCTATTTTTGTTCCAAGCAGTTTGACACGAGCTAAAGCCGACCTGAGAAGTTGATCCTTCAGGAGATGCTGGCCGATCTCTGTTGTCATGCGCTCTAGACTTTTTGGGAGTCATCAGCTGCATGTCTCGCCAAGAGCTTTGCGCTTGTGACGCAACGGCTGCAGATGCGAGGGCGATCCTATAAAACCCACATGATACATTGTCGTCCCTTGCTTTCTTCTTGCTCTTCCCCTCCCGAAGGCCACCGCTACACCCGTCACTGCAAACGATCCTGACCAGATCGATCGCCCAGCATGATTCGGCGAATCTCAACTTCACTGTTGCTGCTGTCAGCAGCGACAGCTTCCATGGCCGCTCCTTTTGCGACCCAGAGCGAAGCTGTCTTGGCACTCCGAGCGGGAATGGCGAGCCCCGCGACCAACGGTTCTGACATTAATCCTGGGTGGGACTACAGAGCCACCCTTGAACTTGCGATAAATCGCTCCACGCACTCTTGGGAGTTCGGTACGTGCATGCAAGCCATCTTAGAGGTCTACAATCCGGAGCTTAGCGTCTACAGCCCGAAGGCTTTCCCAAACGGACGCATTCCCAAGGTGGACGCCAGCAAGATCCAGGCGCTCACGTACCTTCGGCCGCATATTCGACTTGACAACGACACGCTGGTCGATGGCGATGGCGCTGCAGGAGATCCTGCCAGCTTGGGTGTGGGAGCGATTATGATCGGGCAGACCGTGCCAGA